GATTCTTAGAATATCCTAGAAATCTCACAAGGAAACGTCTCCAAGTATGACTCGTCAATAAGTAGATCCCAACGAGGCAGGTAGATATCAATAAGGGTTCGTTCCAATGTCCTGTCCTTCCCAAATTATCTCAATTCTGACTAAACATTCTAATCACTGACAAGATATTTGTAAAAACAACCGAATTAGGAATTTTTACCCATAGGTAGATCTCGGGGATCTTAGAATGCCTTGAAAATTTCAGAGCATTCTAAAGTCCACAAGACCTACTTATGGATAAAATATCAGCTCGATGGGCGAGTCACACCTGGGGGAGGCCGTCCCTCATCAGCCGAAACGAATACTTCCTTCTCGGGATATTGAAGTCTATGTTCTGACTTTTTCTATGAAATATAACTCATTTTTGAACATTTAATATCTCAAGAGGAAAGTATCGAACTTTCTTGTTATAAAATTCAATCTTTATTCTATTTTTTTCATATTACCATAGTTTCATTAACTTGTTGACGTAATTTTTCTAATGTTCGATTATATTTTAATTGATTTTGTTCAATTAAAATAGCACGTGAAATATTTAAATCAAATAAACGATAACCATCAAGAAGTGCACTAATTAATTGAATAATAATTAAATGTATTGTACTATTTTCTAATTGATCTAATAATGATAACCATATTTCATCGATTAATGTATGTGTACATTCCGATATACATTTACGATAACTATAAATTTAATTGTATTATCATCAACAATAAGATACGAAGCAGATCAATGTTTTTTCGAATAACTTTCGATAGAAACATTGATCTGTCTCATATCTTAGCGTTGATAATAGAATAAATTTTGCAAAAAGAATTAACTTACTGTTTTAAAACATTTTCTGGAAGAATAATTGATTTTTCAAATGCAATTGTTAAACGTTTAGTTAATTTTGCTAAAGATCTCATTCGTGAATATAAATCAATATAACCAATAAGAAATATAGAAAGACATTTTTCAGAATCAATAAATAATTGAAATAATTGAAATAAATTTGTTTCAATTAATGTTGGATGAAGATAAAGACAAATAACACATAGATTTGCATAATTTTCTGTTTTATATTCATAAGTACGTTTAAATAAAATATCTTTCATCCAATTTGTTATTCGTTCTTCTAAAGAATTATTTAATAATTGATCAATTAAATGTTTTTCATCAAGAATCTAAAAAGAATTGAAAATTTATTTTTAATAAAAAAAAAAAAAAAAGAAAACAATATTTCTTTACTTGAAGTAATTGACAAATACCATTAAGATATAAATCATCATTTTGAATTTGTTCAAGCCATGTATTCATTTGAACTAATAATTCAAATATATCAGACACTTTTTCTCTAAATATTTTTATTAAAAGTAAAATTATTTTAAATGATAAATTAACTTACGAATCAATTAGATTAATACAATGACGAAAAATAAGTGGAAGAAAACTAATAACATTTGAATTTCCCTATACAAAATTAATTTGTTTTTTTTTAAATTATAAATCAATAATTATTTTATCATACTGCAGTAATATGTGTTTCAAGTGTAGTAAATAAAGGTGATACAGGACAAGGAATTGTTTTCTTTGATGATAAAGATTGTATATAATCACGATAAGCTGTAATCCATGTTCTAAATATAATAAAATATTTAAAATTTTATTTTTATTTCATAGAATTAATGATTACCTATGAAATATAATATGTTTGAGAATATCATCGATAAGAGATGATAATGACGAATAAATTGAACGAATATCCAATAAAGGAGAAAATAATTGTTTAGATAAATCAAGAAATACCTAAAAGAAATAAAAGTTTGTTTTTTTTCTTCTCTCATCATTGAAAAATTAAAAAATGCATAGAAGCATTTATTTCCATTCTATTAATATTGAAGGAAAATATAAGAAAAAAAATTCTTCAGGTTCTACCCAGATTTGAACTGGGGTCGCTGGATTCAAAGTCCAAAGTGCTAACCGCTACACCATAGAACCACGTTAATCCACGGT